TCTGCTGGGCTGCGTTTCCTTGGAAGAGACAGGGTCCTTAACGGAGGCCTTGCTCCTTCTGTCTCTGAAAGATCCCCGGTGTGGGGAGACTCTCACTCAAGTCTCGGGATAATACGACCCCCCAAGTAACTCACGAGAGACCATCCTTGCTGCAATCACACGAGGTTTATTCGACAACAGAGGAACCAGTGCACTGGGGTCGAGACTCATAACCCACGCAGGGGAGGAGTTCCACCCTGAGTAACTGGGAGAAGGGGTTTTTAAAGGAAGAAACCACAGCCCAGTAATCCGAAGGGGATAGGGAGGGTGTCATAGAAAATTCCAAAAATCCAGTGATGATCACAAGGGGTCAACTCCCTGTTTCTCAAGATTATTCTCAAGATTACAATCTAACTTATCTTCAGCTAGTTCCTGAAACAGTCACTGAACCGGCTAATCCTAGATTTCTAATTCTTCTCTCCCTGCTTAGATTTTTGGCTCTATTTTTTCCTGCTAGGGGGATCTGGATTTATCAAGATCTTTCATCCCAAGGGGCTGGTGATTTTTCAGATTAGGCAGGAAGCCGGGCATCCACAAATGCAGGGGCTACTTGCCTTTCTGTGGTGCTGGTCACTCTGCGTGAGTGCCCTTGCTGTGGATGGCACATCTGGTCTCCATGTCGAGCACCTTCCTGTGCAAGGGAACAATCCAGGTCTCAAAGAGACGTTTTGAAAATCCCTATTGCTCATTCCTCGTTCTATCGCAGGTGGAGATGGGGGGTGTGGGAGTCTTGTCACTGGCCTTAGTCTGAAGGCTTCAAGGTGAAGTGGAAAGGTTTGGCCTGGGACCAACTGGAGTGCAGAGATGGATATTTTTAGTTGGATGAGCCTTTAGCCACCAGGTGCCCAAGCAGTAACAGTCTGACCTACAAAACTAGCAAGAGAGGCACCTGAGAGACAGCCGCTCCTGAAGACACCCAGGATGCTGGACAGCGCAGGAACGGGTGGATGATGGTCTCAGGTCAAACAGCTGTGCCAAAGAGAAGCCCTCATCTCAATAGGCTTCTGGGAGTTCTCTTTGGTTCTCCTGGAGTCTCACTGGATCCTGGGCGACCCGTCTTCTTTCCCTATCCAGGGAGCTGTGGGATTAAATGCCTTGTCCTCTGCTCTGGCTCGCTGTGCCTCCCACCAGCTCCCTAGCCTGCCACCACACATGTGAGCCCACATGCTCCCACACTCAACACACGCAAACATATATTCTCAGTCTCACATGCTCACACATTCAGACACGCTCATACCCTTAAACATATCTGTGTACCATACATGCTCACACTTGAATCTCCACACACAGGTCCTCTGGAACATTCTTACACTCCCACACATGCTCTCACATCTCACACCCAACCTCTACCCATGCTTTTCTTCACACATACGTGCTTACACACAATCATTCTCTCCTATACATGCTCATTCACCGCCCCACCCCACCCCGCCAACATCCCTGTGTTAACCCTCATACCTATCATCCAAACCCAGTGGTTCCAACCTTCCTAAGGCTGCAACCCTTTAATACAACTGAGGCCTCAGTTTTCAGCCAGGCTCCGGGAGATTTAAAAACTATAAAGTTTTTTTTTTTATTCTTGTGGTGGTTTGAAAGAAAATGGCCCCCAAAGGGAGTGGGACTATTAGGAGGTGTGGCCGTCTTGGATTAGGGGTGGTCTTGTTGGAGGAAGTGTGTCACTGTGGAGGTGGGTCTTGAGGGCTCATACATTCTCAGGCTACACCCAATGAGACAATTCACTTCCTGTTGCCTGTGGATGGAGATGTAGAACTCTCTCAGCTCCTTCTCCAGCACCATGTCTGCTGGCATGCCATGTGTCCTGCCATGATGACAATGGGCTAAACTTCTGAAACTGTGAGCCACCCAAATTAAATGTTTTTATTTACAAAAGTTGTGTTCATGGTATCTTCCCACAGCAATTGAAACCCTATTTCTCTTTTGGCTCTTCATTTAAAAATAATTTCAGACTTAGACATGGGGCTACACAACTGTAATCCCAGCACTCAAGAGGCAGAGGCAGTCAAATCTCTGTGAGTTGAGGATAGCCTGATAGGGAATTCCAATATGACCAGGGCTACACGGTGAGACCTTGTCTCACAAAACAAAACAAAAATTCAAATTAGCAAAAACTGACATGAAATTGGGGTAAAGAATTTCCATGAACCCCTTACTCGGGGGGTAAAGAATTTCCATGTACCCCTTACTCGGATGTTCCCACGCATCTGTTGATCAAGATCAGGAGATAAGGCTGGAGAGATGGCTCAGCAATCGGGGCACTCACTGCCCTGGCAGAAGACCCAGGTTCGGTTCCAAGCGCCCACATGGCAGCTCACAACTGCCATAACTCTCACCCAAGGGATATGATACCCTCCTCCTACCTCTGAGAGTACCAGGCAAACGTGGTACGCATACACACATGGCAGTCTAAACACACACATAAAGTAAAATAAATCTGAAAAAAATTATAGAAGATCTGGATGTGGGACTGGTCTAACGGCATCACTTAATCTTTAGATGTTGACCAGAGTGCACGGGATGTGTACAGCTCATACACTATCCAACCCCAAGTGACTGGCTAGTCACCAGAATGTCCCTTATTTGGGGTTGGTGGTTTTCTGTCCTACTGATCACTGTAAGGGGCTCAAAGTGTCAGGGCTGCACCAGAGTCTGCAGCATGGTGTCCTGGAACTCCCATGCTTCTGCTCACGACCCTTTCACAAATGGCTTTGGCATCTCCTGTAGGGATGCCGGGCTGGTGTTGCCCTCGGCGTCTCCTGTAGGGATTCTGGCTCCCCAATCCTGTGTGTTATTGGTTGCGTCTTCACAGTACCACTGAGCAGCTTCTACTTTGGTTTGAAAGCATCCTTCTAGGTTCACGAGTTAGAATCTCGGTCTCCATGTGCTGATAATAAAGAGAGAGATGAGCTGGGGTGACTGGTCTGTCTTGCCAGCTGATACACCCCATGATGAGAGATAGTCAAGAAGGCCATCCATGTTCTTGAACTTCCCAGACTCCAGGATCAACTGAGCTAAATGCTAAATAAACCTATTTTTCGGAGAGTGGTTGAAACCAGCATTCTATATAGTCCACTCTGGCCTTGTACGCTGATCTTCCTGCCTCAACCTCCCCAGTTCTACCATCATACCCAAGTAAATGTGTAGTCTTCATAAATTACCCAGTCTCGAGTATTATGTTATAGTTACAGCAAGCAGACCGAAACCGCTTCTGTATCCATACATCTGATGAACTGGCTCCACCCCCTGTAAGTTTTTGAGCAGCCCCGTTTCTAGGCTCCGCCTTTCTCAGCCTGCAGATCCAGTCTCTGAACTCAGACCCTGTACCCTTCCTTTTCAAACACTAGTGTCCCCTACTACCATTCTCCTTCCACACACTCCCATGAGCTAGCACATTTAATACAAATCATATCCCAAAATGCAGCTCCCACCTTTGACCAAGATTTCCCTCTTTTACCCAGGCATGCTTCTGCCATGAAATTGGGAAGATCTTTCTAAAGCGTCACTGGTCCTGGCCTGGGCATCACTCGCCACTCTGACCTCTCAGCTTGTGCTCCCCCGCTCCACACTCCCCAGCTCTCACTTTGTCCTCCACTCCAAATGCCCTTTTGACCCCTTTGATCTGGGTCGGTCATTTCCGCTTATTTGTGCTCTTTCTACCGCACGTCTCTGGTGTGCACAGGTGTTCTGCCTGAAATAGGACTCAGATAGGAGTTGGATAAATGCTGAAAATAATTGGAGACATTATGCATCTAGCTATTTAGGACTCCTTTCCCTTCAAATGTTCGGTGAAAGGGAGTGTCAGGAGAGAGGGAGATAGGTCTATTCTGCTCCCATACCCAATGGCAGAACTGAGCAAACAGTAATAACAAACTTTATTATTATTATTATTATTATTATTTGCACTGGTATTTTGTCTGCATGTTTAGCATGTTTATCTCTGTGAGGGTATCAGATCTTGGAGTTACAGACAGTTGTAAGCTGCCATATAGGTGCTGGGAATTGAACCTGGGTCCTCTGGAAGAGCAGCCAGTGTTCTTAACCGCTGAGTCATCTCTCCAACTTTGAAACAAACTTTAAAAGCAGATTTTTCACCTACTTTGTGTTGGCGGGAAGCACAAACAGGCAAAATCCATGTGTTTGCTTTAGAAGTGTCTGTCTTTATCTCTCCACCCAGTTATGAGCTTTCGCCCCGGCCATTTCTCTGGTCCCTAGAACAGCGTGAGAGGGAAGTTGAAGGGTTCCATGCCCAGGAGACCTTCCTGGCCCCCAAATCCCACCCCCTCAGACAGCACCATCATTCCCAGAACCTTCTTTTTACAGACTAGTTCCCCTCCTTGACATGGGCGCTCTGAATGTACTGTCAAAGGGAGGAATTTTGTTGGCACATGTCCTCATTAGTATTAAGGATGAAGGAGAAAGCATGGCCCAGGGTTGGCACCATTCTCTGCAGGGATGTGGCCTGTGATCTCCCCTGCCCACCCAGGAACAGAAAGATCTCCAAGCCCATCCCTCTCCCTCTCTTCTGTTTTCTTCACTGGGCTCAGGCTACTCTTTGGTGCATCCCATGCTAGCACATAGTAGATCTTCAGGTGTGTCTGCTACTGGACAGGTTAGCAAGGTCAGGGCTCAGATTTAATGGACGTGAGGGTCTCTAGAAAGAGCAGACCCATAAGGGAATGCCTGTGTTCTAGATGCACAGATTAGTGGACATGGATGTAGGCATATAGAAGTTTCATGAGCGGTATCCTGGATTCCTGCCCATGACCCTCTGCAGCTGCGTAGGTGACTGCTGGCTGTCCTGGGCTTGTTTTGTCTCCAAGTGAGCCACCTGATGTAGCTGACCTATGGCCTCCCCTAGGATTTGGCCACAGGCTGTCCTGGAGCTATTTACATTTGGCTTCTGAGTTGAAACTTGGAGACAAATCAAAGTGATGGAATTTAAGATTATTTTCACTTTTCAAATACCCCAGCCAGCCCTCCTGGCAGCACGCTCATCTCCCGCTGCTGCTTTAGCTCCTTCAGAGAGCGCAGCGTGGCCTGCGGCACAGGTGCGGCTGTCTGCGGGAGCTGGGACCGGAAGCATCCCAGCTGCAGAGCCTGGCAGGCCTGGAGCTGCAATCGCAGAGATGGCTCCTCAGGGCTGACAGAACAGCCCGGGAGGATACTGTGGTCACCTGTGTGTGGTACCAGGTGAAGAGGGTTTTTTTCTTTTCTTTTTTAAAAAAGAATTTATCTATTTATATATACTTGGTGGTTTTTACTTTTGTTTGTGGACTTGTTTGTCTTTTTGAGACAGTTTCTTTGTGTGAAGGTCTTGACTGGCTTGGAACTTACTCTGTAGACCAGGCTGGCCTCACAAGAGCGTTTTCTGTGCCTCAAGGCATGCACCACCACCCAGCTGCACTTGTGTGCCGCACTTTTACCTGCATGTGTGTCTGTGTGAGGCTGTCAGGGTGTCCAGTTCACTGGAACTGAAGTTACAGTTGTGAATCACCATGTGGGTGCTAGGAATTGAACGCAGGTCCTCTGGAAGGGCAGTCAGTGCTCTTGACCGCTGAGCCATCTCTCCAGCTCTGACACAGGGCAGTTTTATAGGCATCAGGGATGCATCCAGCATCTCAGATATGACAGAGGTCAAGTGCCATGATAGAGCCATCTTTTCTAGGTCGGGGCTCACCCCATAGTGGTGTAACTGTTCCAGGTAGGCCCTCCCAGTATGCCAACTGCTGGATGCGTTGTGGGCCCCAGCCTTGCTCAAGTCTTCGTGCCGCCTGGCTTGCTAGGTAGCCCGAGCTGGCCTTGAACTCGCGGTGACGCCTCTGCCGCAGACCTCACTCTTTTGCTCTGTCGGCAGGATTTCCTACGACCCTGCTCGCTTCCCGAGGTACCTGCCTGAAGCCTACTGCCTGTGCCGAGGCTGCCTGACCGGGCTCTTTGGTGAGGAGGACTTCCGCTACCGCAGCGCACCCGTCTACTCCCCAGCCGTAGTGTTGCGCCGCACCGCGGCCTGTGCAGGAGGCCGCTCAGTGTACGCCGAACACTACGTCACCATCCCGGTGGGCTGCACCTGCGTGCCCGAGCCGGACAAGGCCTCGGACAGCGCCAACTCCAGCATGGACAAGCCAGGAGCCAAACTGCTCCTCGGGCCCAACGACAGGCCAGCTGGGCGCTGATGCCGGGGACTGCCCGCCACCTCCCGGCTTCCTGCATCTGTCCCCCACATCGTTCCCCACCCCCGCCGCTGCCCACTTTTCCCCAAGGCACAGCTACATGAGTTTTAAATATATTTGTATTTTTCAAAGTAGACACTACATATCTAAGGCTATTTTGAATAGAGGCAGAAACTATTTTCATATTAGTAAATTAGAGCAAGCATGTTATTTTTAAAACTTCCTCGATATACAAGCAAATTATAAGCATCCATTATTCTCCAGTATGGTTCTTGAGCGCGTAATTGTGGTGCTCAGATGACCTTCTTTTAGCTGACCCTGTACCCTGCTTCTGAGTTCAGCCTGGATGCTCCCAATCTGCACCCTGAAGACCTCTCAGGTCCACAGAGAGAGAGAGATTTGAGGGGCCTCCGGGTTCCAGAAACCAAACTCTCTTCTGTTCCTGAGCATATGGATGGTCTCAGCTTTCTAGCAATTTAATTCTTTGGTGTGATTCTTCCACTTTTGAAAACCATTGGTCTCGATTCACGGCAGGAGGTGGAACGTGACATCTTAGCCAGTTCTCAGGGAGCTTCAAGTACACACGGGCTCAGTTTTATGGGCTTTTGGCTCAAGCCAAGCCTGAGGAGGAAAAGGGAGGGCCTAGTCTCCAGGCATTAAACTGTGAGCTAACTTCTTACTCTCATTTAAGTGGAAGGTCTGCCCCTGAGCACATTTGGAAAAGTTCAAAAAAATCACTAAAACAGTGGTGGCTGAAGCATTGTTGGCTGTGTGCGTTTCTTCCCAGATTTTGCTTAGGTGAACTTGTTTGAAGTGTTGGAAGGAAGCCCAGGCGCTGGGACATTCTAAGTAGGTTCTCTACCAATGACCACACCCTCTCCTGACTCACCTCCAGAAAAACATAGGCGTCAGGAGGTCCTTAGGTCATTGGGGATGTGCACAGTGGGAGTCAGTTCATGCACTTACCCCTACACCTGTTTGCCTGTCGAATGTTCCCTAGTGCCACCCGCTGGCAGACTTACCAAGGGCCCAAAACAGGCCCTGACCTTCTGAAGTTGGAACCTTCAGAACCATGAGTCCAAGGACACCTCTTCCCTAATAATTCTCTCAGGCATTGTGCTCTAGCAGTAGGAAGCTGACGTAGTATCTCTGAGTACATGCTCAGTTCCTGTCACCACACTCCCCGGCAACAGCTGAAGACAAGACACAATCTCTTTCTTAGACTAAGACAAGGGCTCCCGAGGAGGATGCTACAGCACCATGTTAGCCGTAGTTCTGTGCTGTGTTATAATGTCTCAGCAAAACCAGCTTGAAGCAGAAAGCTTATTTGTGCCCAGAGCATCAGCACCAAAGAGGCAGAGGCAGGCAGATCTCTGTGAGTTCAAGGCCAGCCTGGCTTACAGAGTGAGTTCCAGGACAGCCAGGGGTTCGCAAAGAAACCCTGTCTTGAGAAACCAAAGACAACAACAAGAAGTATATGTAGAGCTTGTATTAGCCAAGGTTGGGGATTGCTGGGATACAGTCTCCTGACCACCAAGGCCAGCAGAGGAGAGGCACGAAAGCAGTCCAGTTCAACATGACTATCTGGTGCTGGATCAAACTTCTGGAGTCTGACCCTACGTAGTTTATTTTAGGCATCATAATTAAGCATAGCACAATTTGGTGAAAAGTTTCCTGGTGATAATTAATTCAGTTCCGTGTGCAACAAAGCACCAAGTAAGTTAAATAAAGATCGGACATGACTACATAGAAACTCTTTGTAAAGTACATGTGATGGGGTCTGTAGACTGTGTGCGACACTTTCCATAAAGATGGGGTCTGTAGACTGACTGTGTGCGACACTTTCCATAAAGATGGGGTCTATAGACTGTGTGCGGCACTTTCCATAAAGACGGGTTCTGTAGGCTGACTGTGTGCGGCACTTTCCATAAAGATGGGGTCTGTAGGTTGACTGTGTGCGGCACTTTCCACAAAGACGGGTTCTGTAGGCTGTCTGGGAAAAACAAGCTCACGTTAAGGGGCTGGGGGAGGATCCCATGTGGTCTCAGCCACACAGAAAGCACAAAGGCCAACAGGTTATAACTATATCTGCTCCCACCCAGATGTTTGAAAGAATAACTCTGTGTGTTTGACATCCAGGTTCCCAGAGCTTACCTGAGAGCACAAGGACGCTGTGCCTTCTGCAGGCCTGATTGATGATTTGTTTGTTTTCGTGGGGTTTTTTGTTGTTGTTGTTGTTGTTTTATTGTGACAGGGTCTCCTGTAGCACAGGCTGGCCTAGAATTTGCTCAGTTTAAAATGACCTTGAACTCCTGATCTTTCTGGGATTACAGACCTCTGCCACCACACCCAAATCTTTGTTCATTCTAGATAACCAAATTCCTAACCAGGACTACATCTCCAGCCCCCTTTGTTTTTTTGAGACACCATCTGTCTCTCTAGCCCTAGCTATAACCTGGAACTCACAGTGTAACCCAGGCTACCTCAAACTTGCCATGGCTCCTCCAAGTGCTGAGATTACAGATGTGAGCCCCCACCACATGGCAGATCAGTGTATTTTTACTGTACACCTGTTTTGTAAAAATGTAATCATTTGGAACAGCAATCAGAAATCATTCTGATGAGGTGTATGGTGCGTGCCTGGAACACCAGCTCTGGGGAGCCTTAGGAGTGTCAAGTATTTCAGGCCAATCTGGGCCACACGTGGCTATTCTTGGTGGTCACCTTGACTATATCTGGAATTAACTGAACACCCAAGAAGCTAGTCAGGCCTGTGAATTTTTAGTCAATTGGATCATTTGAGGTAGAAGACCCAGATCTTTTGTGGTTGGACAAGCCCCCTAACTCTGGGCCACACCTTCTGGTGGCAGCCTATATAAAGGTCACGAGAGCGAAGCTTTCGTTTTTTTGCCCGCTACCCTCAGTCTCACTGGTCGGTTCATCTATCCAAAGCTGGAACATTCCTTCACTAGTCTGAGAGCCTACTTCTTCAGGATTCACGCGAATGCCCAAGCGCAGCTGAGACATCCAGCCTCATGGACTGAACAGTGATTGCACTCTTGGACTCTCTGCTAGGAGACAGTTCTGTTCCCAGAGAACCTGACTTATCAGATACACCAGGGTGTCTAGTCGACACACTGTATCCAAACAACAGTGCAACCAACCAACCAACTTTGGGCTAATACCAGCAATTGCACGTTCAGGGGTCAATTACACAAACTTTTAGTTTATTTTCTCATCAATGCAAAGGGAAAAAACATAACACAATATTTTTTCTTAAGATTTATTTCTTTAATATGTATCTAGTGTTCTACCTGCATGTATGCCTATATGCCAGAAGAAGGCACCAGATCTCATTATAGATGGTTGTGAGCCACCATGTAGTTGCTGGGAATTGAACTCAGGACCTCTGGAAGAGCAGCCAGAACCTCTGAACCATCTCTCTAGCCCCAATATGATGCTTCTTAGTAACTGGATCAAGCTCTGATTTTAGAAGTGAAGGGGACAGACACGGGGCTTGTTTCTAAGTCCCCATGTGTTTCAGTTGCTCTTGCAGTGGGCTCCCCATCACTTCAAACATCCAGTTGGCATTCCACAAAGAATATTTAGATTCTCCCTCCTCAGGGATGGGTGCCGTGGATCCAGATCTTCCAACTAGGAGGGGCTCACAAGGGTGCATAGTAGATGGTTCTTTACAACCTCTGACGTCCTTTGAAGGGTACATTCCTTGTCTCATCCACGTGACACTTAGTGTGGCTCATATTCAGAGGGTACAGTCCCTCACAGTCAGGATCCCAAACAGGGCAAGAACCTGGAGGCAGGAGCTGATGCAGAGGCCATGGAATGGTACTGCTTACTGGCTTGTTCCCATGGCTTGCTCAGCCTGCTTTCTTATAGAACCCAGGACCACCAACCTAGGTGGCACCACCCACAGTGGGCTGGGCCCTCCCCTATTGATTACTTATTAAGAAAATACCCTACAAATTTGCCTACAGCCTGATCTTATGGAGGCATTTTCTCAATCGAGGCTCCTTCTTCTGATGACTATACCTTGTCTCAAATTGGCATAAAACTAGCCATTACAGATGTCCAGCCACCGGGATCATTTCTCCTCCCCTGCAGGTGCTGTCTAAGTCAAGGGCTAGCTACTAGAGCAACTTGCACCTGGAGAATTCCTGCATGGTGGTAGGGGATAGAACGAGTGACGTGGTTGGCCAACTGACAGTCTTTGGGTCAAAGAAAGTCATCGTTTCCCGGAGAGACAGGTGGATTTTTTTTTTTTAATTATGACATGATTGCAGGTCTCAAAAGTTACCAAGCCACCAGAGGAACCTTATGCACTTACTCTTGTTTCCTGTGAGGGGTGTGGCACAGAAACTGTCCACGTGACTGCTCCATGGGGGAGGGGAGGTTTTATTATGAGAAAGAGAGAGAAAATATGCAGAGGCCCCTGGGCGAGTTCAGAGCACAGGAAGGAAAGCAGACTGGACCTGGAGGGAAGGCACAGGGAGCAGGAGAGCAGGAGAGGATCGCGGAGCTGACAAGAGACAGAGCATAGCAAGACAGTGCAAGATACAGAGAAGACAGCAAGAAAGCAGACAACATGGCCGGGGGTAGGGAGTGGGAGAGAGCAGTGCAGACAGTGAGACGGAGCCCAGTGAGTGAGCACCATGTGAGAAGGAGATAGAGAGGGAGCTGGGGTGGACGGATCGTCTGGATGATGAGGACAAGTAGCCGGGGCAAAGACTCCTTTTGGGGATGGAAAGTTCCTGAGGAACGCTGGCGTTTATCTAACCACCAGAAATCCTTCTATGGTCCAGGTGAACTCGTTTCTAGATAGGAAGGACCTGCAACCCAGTACCCTGACTGGAGCATGCTGGTAACAGTAGTGTGATGCACAGCCAGGGAAGTGGCAGTGACTGTCCTTGGACACCACTGGGAGTCAGCCAGATTCACGTGCACCATGCAGATCTGACACTGCGGCCACAGAAAAGGACAGCACATCCCAGTACCCAGGGATGCCCCTTTGTGGCCACACTCAGTCTTCTGATCCCATGTTCCATCTGATCCCTGTCATCGCTATGCTGATCTCCATTCTCAAACATCATGGCTAGAAACAGGCAATGTGGGCGTTGGAGCTGGCTGTTCTACTCAGCACGATGCCCCTCACGACCTCACCAAATGCTACTTCTCCATGGTTTGGAGAGAGTGACTCAGGCTGGCCTCAAACTAATGTCCCTCCTGTCTCAACCTCCCCAGTGCTGGGATTGCAGGCAGGTACCACCTTTGATCTGACATTTGTCCCTTGATTGCTGTGTGACTTCTGGGTTATAAATGGATGTAAATAGCCTTTAAGGATCCAGCATCCCTCCTCCCCCCAGCTCTGTTGTTTGGTTATGGAGTCTGGCTTGGACCGCCATCCCCTTTCACAGTCTGGAGTGAGGTGCTGAGCTGAGCTGTATGCTGGGATGGACAAGTGTTATGTTTCATCAGGGCTCTCAGAGCTGAAGGGGAGGTTGAACCCAGGAGGAGCTGGAACACTGGTTGCTTGGATCAACTTGCTCCATGGAGGAAGGTTAGGTCTCCTAGTAGCTACCAGAGCGCTCCCAGTCCACTGGGCAGGCAAAAGCCTCCCATTTTATGGAAACTTCTAGCAGAGGTCAAGGTCCTGTGCCATTCAGGAGTTCTGTTCTATTTTCACAGATGTTGAACAATCAGCCTATAACATCTCCCCCTACTCTAAGTGCACAGACCTGG